TTTAAAGGTGTATTTTCTTAGCTTTAGATTTTCTCACGTTTTAATGTCTATGTATATATATGTATAAAGTTTACTACGCATGAGTTTATACCAGCAATTCTTTGTGTAGCTAATTCAGTCCTCTTTCTGCTGCTTGATGGGCTGATGTCTGTCCCTTTATATTTATAATAATCACATCGGCATTGTGTTTGTTGACACCCTTGAAACAGATGTTAATCACCATAAAAAAAATGCTCTTATTCAAACGTTTGATCAGGACAATATTCATACTTGGAAGTCCCTGCATCCAAAGTGCTGTCGTCGTCGTCGTCGGCATCATCATCATCATCATCATCATCATCATTGATTATTATTATTATTATTATTATTATTATTATCTGAGGGAGCTAATTCGAGACATAAAGCAATCTTGGTAAGTCTTTGACTGCTGTCTTCGTGATCTACCATTTCAAAGATAGGAACTCGGATTAAAGGATACAAAAGCTAGGGAGGTTAGGTCGACCATTTATTCTTTCGGCCTAAATCCCTGACAACCCCCTTGCATCTGTTAGTATCCAAAATCAATTTCTAAAAAAAATCTAACTTTAAATCAATCGGATGAAAACTGTTCGTAGAACATCTTCCTGTTCGATATTTAAGTTAACGCAATAAATCCACAGACGAATAAATGTTGCATTATATTTCGATTTAATTTAACATTGTTCTTGAGACATCATTCATTAGGTCCATTGGTCCCAATTAACAGAGTTGGGGATCAAACTTGTTTTGCTTGGCTGATCGAATAAAGCGTATTGTTGTAGGACTGTATATTTAGCTCAACAAGTTTGTGAAACTTTTTTCCATATACTTTTGAAAATGGTTTTGCATGAATTGAACCGAAATATCAGTGTGTATTCCCCTCGTGTATTCTCTTTAAATTCGTTGGGTTACTTTCATACTAAGAAACAACGTGTTCTTCGGAGTTGTTTTCATCCTGTAATTTCTTCACTTTAATGTCAGCGACAAAGTGGAAACAAATCGGTACCAAACCAAAGTGCTCCTGAAAAGGTTTAATGTGAATGGTCATAACACAATGTTTCATCCGTACGAACAAAGGGTAGCAATACATTCAGAAAGGTTTAGAATTGACTGTGAAATTGAAACGACTTATGATTTGCTTTGCTTACCATTAATTTTCGCTACACTTTTTTATTGAAAGGAGTAGAGTAGGTAATTTATTTGACATGCATTCGGTAAGTGAGTTCGATAATTTAAAGCTCTCTTAAATGGAATAGCAAAATTTTCCATCTTCCATGACTGAGGTAATAAGAATTGATTAACGTCATGACCACTGGGAGTCGACTGCGGACAACTGAGCTCATACCAACAAAACATTCTAATAGAACTGAAATCGTTCACCAAAAACACACTGCAGCACATCGAAAGGCTATGTAAGTAGAATACATTGTCTAACAATAGAAATACCAAAAATCAGCAAAGTTCAATATGGTTGGTGAAAAATGGCATCTTTTTCGCTCTACAAAGTGATTCTTAAACAAAGCAATACTCCCAGTCTAACAACCTTACCTGATTTCTGTTTTGTTGCTAACTCACCCGTAGCAAAAGAGAACGCAAACGAAATCATGAAAATTATGTTCAACAGCGACATGATTACGTTGATCGCTTTTTAAACAGTTATTTAAAACTTCATCCAGAGAGAACAACACCTCAGCAGAGTGTATTCAAAATCCGGAGCGTTAACGACGACAGTTGTTCTAATTTGAATACAGTTATTAGAAACTGGTGTTAACAATGCAGGCATGCCCTAAAGTACATTTCTAAAAGTCCCATACACTGATTCAAATATTGAGACGCAGGTTTCGAAAAGAGAAATGAGTGATTTTCCGGTTGGGCAAATATTTTAACACTCTTGTAAAATAAAAGATGTAAATGTAACATTTCCAGGAAATAAATGTATACGTTTTTCTATCGACAGTGTTAAAAAAGGTGATAAGTTTATGGAAACGTACATTGTCAAAAAATCTCAGTCTTAATTGACTTTTTTTCCACCCTAAATTGCAGAACCAGTGGTCCAATTAAGATCCATGGTGAAAAAAGTGAAAAATGAGCCAGAAAAAAATAATAATAATAAAAAGTAGTAAATCAGAGTTTGTTTTGTTAGCGGTCCCTCTTTCTATCCAGGAAAATAAACAAAATTATCTTACATATTTTCTGCTTTTATTGCAGGCTTTGTGATACAGAATTCTCCGTAATTGTCCTTTTCACTTTGTTTCCAAGGAGATTTTTTTATCGTAATCATACTAGCATAAATAGCGACCTTTTAGAAATTTTTTCAAATAGCTGCTTATGACTGGTTAATTGAACTTCACCTACTTTGATTCCAAAACACTCGAATACATTGTCGACTAAGTGGACTAGGTAAGTGAACGCCTAAAGAAAGTAGATGAAGAAACGCAAATTATTTGTAGACTGTAATGATTTCCGAACGTTATTATATACCCCCGGCGGGTACTCAACAAAGTTTTATACGGGGAGGCTCTGCACCGAGGTCCAACCCCTTAACCTTTTATATTCCATTCTTGGCAAAAAAGGCACTCCTTTCGTATACCTTCTAATTGAAAATGGTAACCCCATTTACTACTGTAAATGCACTCTCTTTAGGAATGGATAAACCTCAAACTAGAACGTTTTGTCGACATTTTCACAGAAAAAAATGCATCTGTTAGTCCTTCTGGGCTTTTTTACCGACCAAAATGACACATTTCCCTACCCTTTCAAATACTTTAACTAATGTTCCATACCTTTTAATATACCTGAAGCCTGAAAAAGGTACCCCTTACGGGCAGAGCCTCCCCGTATAGGCCATTGTACGGATCACCCCCACCCCCCGGTTTATACAGCTATTACAACAATCAACGCTGTCGAATTTTAAGGCCTCAAGCCTGCGCGACAAGACCGCCAGGTCATGTGGGCAGATGTATATCCCTTATTCCTTCCCCACAGAATAGCTACATAGAAATATAACATTCTGACCCCCACATTTTGATTTTCGTTTCGGAGTTCACCTAAGAACTCAAAAGTTACCAACATGTGTCTCAGCCAGTTTGCACAAGGTGTAAAAAAAAAAATTATTTCGATTGTTGTAAGACCTCAACAGACTGGTTTTTTAAACGCATACATAGAAAATGAGGTGCCGCGTAAAACTGTGAGACAAATGATGGAACAGACAATTAACGATGGAGTGAAAATTCAAGTGCGAAAAATAACCAATCGATCTACACGGACCTTGGTTTATCTAGTGATGACGATATCACGATTATTCACTTTGACTTTTTAATCTAACTGAGAGGGCGAAATCCTATGATGTTGCTTTTCAAATGAAACCTCTTGGATCAAACGTTTAAATGTCACCAATGAAACCTTGGGATTTCACAAAACTAAATTTGGATCAGTTATTTGTGAATTAATTATTTGTACTTTGCCCTCTACTAAAGACAATAACTTGAACTTCAGGTCTGTTTCTTTGCAGGTCATTTGTATTTGAGTAGACAAATAAAGTTTTTCTATACCTGACGATGTAAGCCCTTCGACACATTAAACGATGTGAAGATTTAAGAGAAGGCTAAATTGAAACTGAAAACAAGTTTTTTTGAGCGGAGAGTTTTTCATTCCGGGATTTTTTGGGGGAAGGAAATTTTGGCAAGAATTTTCTTGGGTACTTTGATTAAAAGTAGGGATTTCTTAGGGTAGCCAAATTAATATGAAGATTTTTTTTTCGAATTTTTTTTCTATTTTCAAATCATTTCATCCGTTGAAGGCCGCAGTTCAGGCGGTCGAAAGCTCGCACTTTTTTTAAACATTTTTAGACAGACATGATCAATCCTGGTTGCGGTCCCGCTATTTTTTCATTTAGCTAAACAAATGTTTCAATGACCGACTCAACAAGCATCTTTTTTCATTAAAAGTTAAAACGTTTCTTGTTTACTTTTCGTTTGTGATTTTATCCCTATGATCTCTATGGATAAAAGGTGGTCACAACTGACAATCCGTCGATAATTAATCCTAATGTTTTTCTTTTTGCTGCTTGCACGTGACGTCACGGCATCATTCCGGTGATCAAAAACAAAAGCATTTCTCTTACTAGGAACAAAACTATATTTTCAAGAAAATTTTCGGAAAAAAAATTATCGTATTGACCACCAAAATGGCCACCTTGTTACGTGCTTGCGAACCTAGAATTCACAATACGGTGGAACCCGGCTATAACGAAGACCCCGTTATAACGGAAAACATCTGAAGGAATTACAGTAAAATTTGTGGAAACGAACCCCGTTATAACGAACCCCGCTATAACGAATATATTTTGACGGTTCCAACGCACAATTTACCCCCCTGTAACGAATATTTTGTCCGGTCGCTCGCACCAGCCAAGGTAAAACTGAACGACAAAGTGTTTATGAATTAGATGTCTTGATTGTCAGCGCTTTACACTTACAGTTTACAGTATCAAATGAATAAAAATAATGTTTTCTACGTGCAGTATTGAATTTTTGGTAATCGTTATTTATTAAATTACCCCGCTATAACGAATATTTTTGCTGTTAACCAGATAATTCGTTATAACGGGGTCTTCGCTATAACAAAGAGCCCGCTATAACGAATTATTATTTCGGTACCGTGACACTTCGTTATAGCGGGGTTTCACTGTAGTCGTGAATTCCCTTAGGACGAGGCTGAGTCTATTCATGGATGTCCTTTAACAGGTAACACCAACTAAGACAGAATTGACAAATCAGGTTTTCCTTTCGACTGGTACCGGGACTGGCTAAGAAAACCAATAGCTTACACTGAAGCACTAGTCAAAATCAGCCATGTCCACGGATTTATTGTCGACTCGTTTGCTTGAACAAACGAAGCATTATAGCTTAAAATCGCCCAATGTTTCTTGTTGAGACGGTCCAGATGAAATAGCATGGCGTCTGTGGTAAATTCAAGGCTTCATGCTTAGAAGAATCCGACGACGCATTGGCAGGCCCTTTCCTCGCCGGTGGCTTTTAATCGTCGGCTCTCTTTTAATAACTGTTTTGATACTTGAGCGAGTTAAAAAGAGTAATTTTCACATTGAGATATTTACAGCGATAGTAGATCTAAAAGAACTGGAAGCGACAGGGAAAGTTATGCCTAATCTGTTAGCAGCCAAAGTCGAGGCAGAGAGGGACTGGAAGCATGAGCTCTCAAGTCTCCATGGCAACGATGTTACTCGTTTGGCCGAATATAATGAAATGAACAATGTTATTGATCAAGAGGAAGACTTTGTTAGCGGCAAAGGCGTCAACGTCCACATCTGGAGAGGGTTATGCTGTCCGAAAGTGAACAGTTTAAGACAATATCCACTGTTTCCATTACTACCAAAAGAGCGTTTGTCACGTGACACTATCAACTCCGGTCCGATGGGGAACTGGTATGGACAGAGAATCATGGGATATATTTATCCTCCAATCACAGGAAGTTATACATTTCACTTCCATGCGCATGTTTATGCCGAGTTCTGGCTCAGTGAGGAACAAAACAGCACAGAGGTTGCACTAATAGCGAAAGTTGCAAAGGAAAATCACAATTTCTTAGGGAAATCTGTAGGTCGAATCTCAAGACAAATTCACCTCAAGAAAGGCGGTAAATATTTCTTTGATGTTCTTCACGTGATGAACGGTGGAATGATGCGTCGTGATCACGTGAACCTCACGTGGAAAATTCCAGGAAGGGAGCACTTTAGTGAAATCCCCCAAATGTTTCTCTCGCCACTACTAAATGAGAAGTTTCCATATCCAATCCATGAATTACCAAGACAAGAATATTATTTACTTCGACAAGCTAACAGTATCATCAACACTGACGATAACGATGCAGATGCTGGCGAAGATGATGAAGATTACATAGGAATGGAAATTCCAAGTAAAAAAAACCGACTTTCCGAAGAATTTTCATTCTTTTTTGGAGATGATTTTGACGTCCAGACTAAATATGACAAGGCAATTTTTGAACAACTTCCAGATGTATCCGATGATCTGTTGTCAGTTTTGCCGAGTTGTTCTTATGATCCAGCGTACACCAAGAAACGGAAGTTCAAGCAATTTGAAGGGATTTGGCAAACACATTTTAGTTCTGTGTTTCCAGATGACGGAACAAAAGAATTCATTTGTATTGGATACAAACAAAAGAAAGATTGCCAGGGAAATGATGTTTTAAACCAGGATGAAGTGCTCACACTACTGCAGATGCTTACGAGGAAAATTGACGAAATGTACCCAGGGTATGGCTGTGCTTTTTGCTGGTCATCCTAACCCACTCACTCCTAGTTTTTTCGTTATTCATAGACTTAATCGTCAACAAAACCGTCTGTTGTAAACAAAATGGTCTAAGAAGAGGACTAAGGCTACGTTCACACGGCACCGGAAACCGCCCACCTACCCCTCCCCTAAGCCAACATTTTTCCCTAAGAGAGAAGTAAGTGTTCATGTTGGCTTAGGGGAGGGGTAGGTGGGCAGTTTCCCAGAAAGGTATAATGATCGAAAAATTCGTAGTTTTAGGTGTTTCGTTTATACGGATCCACCTTAATTAACCGTACGAAAATATAGAAGCCTAGCTGCTCAAAGTTACGAGTGAACAGAGCGAAAATATCGATCGGTCCTGAGGGAACCAAGTATCCAGTCAAATTGTTCGGTCGGTCGGTAATTCGTTCATTGCTTTGTGAACGTATCCTAATGGTCCAAATATGACAAGTACCTCCGATCTTTCACAGAATAAGCAAGCTGTTAAGGGTGCCCTGTGCTTAAACAGGATAGTGCATGCTAAGAACTAGCTTGATCCAAGCGCTCAGATAATGGGAACGGCGCAGCAACTTTTCCTATCGTAAACGGTCGCTGTCATTTTTAGACTCTTGGAAATTTTTGACCTGTTATTGAGAGTTTTTCTATTAAAAAGAAAGAAGATCGCAACCTCGAACCAGGACTTTTCGTATCCTAATCTTTCTCC